ATGCCATCTATAGCTGCTGCAAAGGTGACTAAGGCAGCAATATTTCTGTAAGCAGACACTTGCTAAATACAGTAACTGTTAAAACTTCTATAAGTGTCTTTACTGGGCCAGGCATATCTTACTGTAACATAGCTAGCAAACCCATCCTGTCAAACTCAGTACATAAGCGTGCATCATAATCCAGGGATGCACACTTATGGTGTGAGAAAAGTTAATGTAATAATTGTTTTTGACATACTTTCAGCTGAGCATCACTGAGTTGTGATACACTTAGGAAATTTGGAGAACATGAATTCAAAGAAGCTAGAGTAGCTTTTGGCTAGTGACTCAAGCTAGTCTTATGCTTCTTTTGTGCCCTCTGAATTTCCTGCATTCATCATAGCTCAGTGACACCTGTATGTACACACCAATGCATGAATCAATAAATAAAACTGTAGCCTGCATAGCAAGCATTTCCGTGGGGTTTGGAAGCAAGGAAAGACCGAGGAACAGGATTTTTGGTGTTTTGTCTGCGCGGAAAATGGGGCGAGAGCTCAATTTTTCGCACTGTAATTCTTTGCTCCTGAACCCCACAGAAACGCTTGCTACGCAGGCTAATAGAACTGTTAATTGTCTGCAGCAAGTAACAACTTAGCTTTGCAACTGTGAAACAGTTTGGAGATGTAAGGAGTAAGTCAGACTCTATGGTTTCAGAATTTACATGTGTGTTACTGTNTCTTCGCGTGCAACCCTTAACGAGACCTTGACGGCTAAAAATAATGACATTTTGCCCAGAACACCCTAAGCGAGACCAAAATCCGAAATTTACACCCCTAAGCGAGACGACGAGCATCCCCGTCCATTCCATATGGGAGTCCCCCCCCCCGGGGGGCTTTTAGAGTGAAACCTCCGTTTTCAAATTCCTCCGTCGTAGTGTGGACAATGTCCAATAGTAGCCTTGTTCTATTTTAGTTTGTTACAATCGGCCTCCACGCAACACCAACATGTACGGTGTAACGGCTCAAAAGAAATCCGAGCAATGGGCAAAATGTACGCGCACTTTACATATCAAACCATCAGCTAAGGGATTTACCAGTTCCACTATCATTTCATTTTCTAGTATTTCGGCTTCTAGTGCTGCATCATCAAAAAATTGTACCGATCGCATAAGGCGCGTGTGAATGACGAAAACAAAATTCGACTCTTCAGTGCCATACGGACTCACATTTGCCGCGTTCTCTTGACCTCATATGGGACATATGGTGGTTTGGTGGAAAAATCATCCTTTGTCTCTTTTGCGCAGTGAGTTGGGAAGGAATCCGTGAAGAGGAGGGGAGACTTCATCGAGGACTATTTCACATTCACAGGAAATGCTTTAACCTGCTCATTCCATAGTAGTAACAAGCATGTTATAAAAGCTTGATTTTCTTAAATACTTGTGATTAAACACAAGTCGCTATACATTTATACCAAAACGTAACTTTCTAGTCCAATTCCTTTCATGCGTCATCCTGTCTCGCCCCAATCGCCTGAGTTCTCTTTTGCTCAAAATAAACAGAGAGGCAAAGAGCTAGAGTTGGAGACCTTTTGACCCAATCTGAAATATTCATATTATACGACAACCTCGTTCCCAGGGTCTCTCATCAGATGAGAGACCCTGGGAACGAGGTTGATTATACGAGAAATAGACCATTACATCACGTTAATATTTTTATCTAGCCAATAAGATTCAACCAAATCGGCGCAACATAAATATCGCAGAGCTCGCTCGGGGAATCAATACTACTTGTTTATTTCACGAAGAAAAGCTTACCTTGGTCGATTTCTCGACTTTGGTTTAAACAATGTTATAATCTCTACCCATGGACTGTAGCGGTGATTCAGAGTGTTTCGAAGAAGCACTGAACGGTTTACTTGTAGATGTATTCCTTCAGTGTAACGTGGGCAGCATTTTAACAGCGACACTGAAGGCAAAGTGTTTTGAACACGGGATTGATTCTCAGGAAGAAAACCTGGTGGAATTGTTCCAAAAACTAAAGCAAAGACGGATCTTAGAGAAGGATAATGTAGATTTCCTGAAGCAGGTTGCTGAAGCTGGTCATAGAAAAGACGTCAAGAAGCGAATCGAAGAGTTTGAGGAGGGAGAATGGCGGTCCCGTGATCAATTAAACACTACAAATTCACGAGGATATGCGTTTAGATGGCCAGAAACGCTTGACTATGGATCAAATGCGCTTGCTCAAGTTCTACTTCGTTTTGTCCAGAACGAGGAACACATGAAAGATCGAGAAAAAAGCGCATTTTTCATTTACTGTGACGGACTGATCAAACCATCGTTGGATTTCAGCTCTTACATGAGGGATCCTTTCCTGTTGATTCAACAGCTCATGGATCATGGACTCATCGGTCCGAGAAATCTTGACTTACTCAAGAGATTTTTCAGTCTAGAGACCGTTCGAAAGCCAAAGGAAATCTCGATTTTACAATGCTTCGAAGCTGGAGCATTTTACAAACAAGTCTTGGAGACATATTGCGGGACTTCCCCTAATTCCACTCGCGAAACTGACGAGCCGTGGCACATACCATGGATAGAAACAGCTCGACTGATGAGACGAGTGATTAAGAAGAGTTTTAAAGGGACTAAGAGATTGCATGTCATTAGAAATCTTCTGCAGCATATCCTTGGGTCGGCGGGCGAACATCGACTGATCAGCCGTCTGGTCGAAGAAGCATGTCTGGATAAGAAACGCAAGAAATGGCAAAACATTCTTAAGACATTGGTAATATCAGGAGAGATTTGCTGTTTGTTAGAACCGCCATGGCGTGAATTTAGAATCGCAGAGATATCAAGAGCTCTTGGCGTTTCGTCGGATCCAAAGATAGTTCTTCAAACGGTGGGTATAAATACTATCCATTAAATCAATTATTATAATTGCCCAGAGACCAACTACTCCTGGGAAAAACCCCGTTTCTATTTTTCTTGGCTGTGGTAAAAGCGGAAGTGCTTAGGTTACTTGGGAACTGCGCACAAGTTCAATCTGTTGCGTTACGCCACCAAAAATAGGTACGCACTTGTGTACTTGTGTCACAGCCTATTGATTACTTAACCAGTTACTTACCTCATTTGATGCCTTGTCGAAATGTAATCGCAAAATGTTTGCATGTGATATATTAGAGCGACATGTTCCCTTAAACCAGTCTTACACCAGGTTTTATCGTCACGTCTTTGCCTGTCTCCTAAAAGTAGACTTTCTTAGCATTTGCCTACTAGCCCTATCCCCGTTGCGACGTTTGAGCTGAGAGACGCCGGAACTCGCTTTCTTGATTTATTTAGGTGGGAAAGCATCCTGGGTTTCAGATAAACAATGTGACAAAGAGTATAGATAAAGATTTCAGCTTTACATCAGACTTCTTGTTAATTGGGAGAAATTATGGTTTGTTTGTGGTTGTGATTTCTATCATCAGAACTATTCATTGCATGTGTTACAGAATTTCTCTTTTATTTTCTGCAGCATGACTTCAAAAATTTCCTCAAACAGAAGGAGGTTCTCCTGAACTTGGAAAGAGAAGCAATGAAGACTGAAGACGATATTCAACAGATTACATGGCAGAAGAATGAACTAAGTGACGACAGAGATGAAGATGATGACTTGGAATTGCTAAACAGTTTCTTCAAGGGTATCACTCTGTTCCACTAGGAACGTTTACCGTTGTTGACGATCTCCACAACTCAGAAACCTGTTGGTGAACAACAAACTGAGACATTGAATGTTCAGACGAGATTTTCATCGCGAATTTCGTACATGCGATGGATTGAATCCCGTAACACTCGCAGTTCATAGAGCAATGATCGTTTACGTGCATGTTTAAACGTCTAGTGAAGCATGTGAATGGGAGTTGGCTAGGAGTATGAAACTCAGTCAAGTAAACAGAAAAGTCTCATTTCTGTTTTTTTTTTTTTAACTGCGTGTCATACTCCTAGCCTTCTCTCATTCACATGCAACACTGGACGTTTAAAATAGGAACGTAAACGATGCTGCGAGTGTTGACGGATTCAATGACTGATCGCATGTACGAAATGCACCAATTTCGCGATGAAAACTTTGTCTGCACATTCATTTCTCAGTTTTTCCGTTTACCAGCAGGTTTCTGAGTTGTGGATCGTCAACAGCGGTAACCGTTTCCAGTGGAACGGTTGCACAGTTTACGAGTAAATCAAAGAAAATACGTACCACTTAACCTGCGTAGCCTGCGTTTCCGTGGGGTTTGGGAGCAAAGAAAGACCGAAGAACGGGATTTTCGGTTTTTTGCCCGCGCGAAAAATAGGGCGAAAGCCAAAAAGCGAAAGAGGGGGTTGGGGAGGGTTTCCTTCCCCTCCCCCACCCCCCTCTTTCGCTTTTTGGCTCTCGCCCCATTTTTCGCGCGGGCAAAACACCGAAAATCCCGTTCCTCGGTCTTTCTTTGCTCCCAAACCCCACGGAAACGCAGGCTACGTACCACTCATCTTCTGATGAAATAATGTTAGCAAATTCCGAATGGGTCAGTGTAAGAAGAAAAGAAAAGGGAAAGTTTTTAAAATATCTCTTTTACTGATAACTAAATAATTCTAAGTAAAAAATACATTGTAACCGATGTCTCGATATGACGAACTTGATACAGAATGCCAACCAAATGGTTCCTCATGCCAGTTGAACTAGTTTTTACAGTTTTCACTTTCTTTGCTAGTCGAGTAAATCGTTATTATCTAAGCTGTATACCACAACTATCTATAAGTTTACCCTTTTTTGTTTCAATGGTCCATTCCCATAATGGGATGTGCCTGCAGGGAATCATGGTAGTTGTATTCATCATAATGGACTGGGTATCTGTTTTGATGAATACAACTCCCATGATTCACTGCAGGCGCGTCTCATAGAGGGGCATGTTGGCCATAAGCCAATTGGGAAAAGACAAGATTGTAGAATACAAGCCGAAATCATGCGATTTACAACTTATGTTTTTGAGTGTTTGTCCAACATCCTGAGTGATTATATGAGTCTCATGTGCAATTATGGTTTGCTTAATAAGCCACTAGTTTAATTAGATTTTAGATGAATTTTGGGAGGTTGAATAGTCAATTACCATAGATTTTACAACTGGAATAGAAAGCGTTTTTTATCAGTTCTGTTTAGACTACTGGTAATGCGAGCTTCGGTTTAGGAAAACGAGGAAAGCTGCTAGGCAAAGAGTGTTCATGATCAATTAAAATCATTTAACAGTGGGAACAGAGTATCTTAGTAAAATATAGATTAGCTTCGTAAAGATACATTACTTATATAGAGGTGACGCAAAACCGAATAGGATCGAGAATAGGAAACGTTCTCATAAATTAACCTAAGTGGAACTTACTGTTGTGTAACTGGTCTGCTTGTACCAGACCCCTACTGGTGACCAGGAAAATTGAGCTAATTAGATTCAAATATTCTAATGGATGTGAAGCAGTGTTTCTAGTTTTAATATCGAGTTTTTTCCTTTATCTCTATAATTTAGTAAGTGTTAGTATTACTAAAGGATGTTTGTAAAAAATCTCAGTATGCAATGTAATAGTACAGTAAATTAAAAAAAGATATAGTCATCAGAAACTCCGTTTGATTCGATTTAATGAGTGTAAAGCAAATTGTCAGGGAACAGGAGAGAGACGACCTAAAGCCGTACCCATCATCAAATGTTAGCCAAACGCTATTTGATCAAGCTATCGTAAGAATTAACCAAAAAAATTATCGAAAAAACAAAACGTTCATATCGACGGCGATCAATTTCATGCCACGTCGGGGGTGACTTCAAACTTGAGGGTTGTCCCAGCGGGTTCTGTGCTTACCCGTCGGAATGCGCCAGGGCGAGCCAAAAAAACACTACTCACACTTGCCTCTAACGGGCTACGACTTGTAATATGCGAGGACCTGGGTCGTATGCACCTCCAGTATTGTGTATGTGAAACTGCTGTTTATGTGTTAAGCTTTTCAAGTAAGCGCAAACACATGTGCTAGGGAAAAGAAATGTCTCAAATATGTAGGTTCACTTAGCATAAGTATTGGAGCTTTCCTTACGTATACGAAGACTGACTGCTTAATAGTCATAATAGCCTCGGCCTCCTCGCAGCACTAGACTTTCGGCACAGCATGCGTGGTGTTACGGCACAAAAGATTATCCGTTAAAAGCATCAATTCAAGTTGAACCATTGTGGTGAAGCTATCTTGGGTTACTTCTGCTCTGATAACACTTAGAAGGTCACAGCTTGTGCCGCTAATTGGTTAGAATGATTCATTCACAACAATGGCTATTGTTGTGTTAGTCAAAGAAGTGTCTTGACAACCAAAACAACCGACTGGCGACCACATGCATTTTTGCGCGTAGTCGATGTCTGCCGGCGTTGTGTGTCGTCTTTTACGTTTAGCACAATAGCGTTGGATTCCCAAACGTTTGCCACGGTGTAGGAAAATGCCAGAGCCTCTCCGTAACAGGTATGAATTTCATCGCTTCGTTTCGGCTTTATGTAAGCAGCAGCTAACGAGTTTCTCAAAGCGTCGTCTTCTATTTCAGTTGGCGCAGTTTGGCTTTTTACAAAAAGATTGAATTTCATTTTTTTGGTTAGAATGTTAGGAGGTATACTTGCGTGTACAGGAAAGCGGAATCTATTTTATTAGCCAGGAGAGGTTTGTAGTGCAATTGAAATTAGAGTTCCTTTGAGATAAAGCAAATTGTGTTCGATCACAATTATTATTATTAATTTGAGTGAACGTCAAACAAAATCGGTAACTCTAAGACATTGTTGAAATCCGTTTAGCGTTCCCAGTTTATCTCAAATCGAGACAATGTAACTAACTGTATTACTCTAAACTTTCTGATTTTCTTCTTTTCGTCAATACCTGAGGTAATCCAACGCAATTACATCTCTTAGCGAACGGGGAATTCAGTGGAGTCCCATTTGGCGACGTTAAGTTTACTTACTGCCAAGTCCAGCAGCCTTGTTTACAAAAGGATTTCGGCAGTGTTTCCTGTTTAATAAATACAGCGCAAATTGTGAGCCACAGCCACCATATTTGAAGCAGATTTCCACTCGGGAACGGCTGCCATGAAAGTTTTTTCGTTGAGGCGACGTTTCATATTGAATCATTTCCGGTTTTCTGACACGCGCTTCAAACCACAGGAAAATAGTGATGAAAAAAAGTGTTATTGTTGTGAATTCACTTCTCTCTCTGTCTTTGAATCACAACTTACTAATAATTGCACGGAAATGTAGCCTGAAAGACGTGTTTCTTTGAAATGGTGTTTTAAAATATGAGATCGGACAGCTCGATATGTCTGAAAAGGAGTGTTGCGTTACCAAATTAGTGTCACACAATTTCATGTCGCTCATGACTATTCACACACATTTATTTATTAATTTCTAGAATGAAGCAGGATAGACTGCGGCGAGAGACGCAAGAAAAGTATGAACGGTCGTTATTTACTCCAGCAGGATTGAAAACGTTCAGGCTGCAGCCATCTATTGACAATACATCAATTATGAAGGTGCGTTTTTTACACTGGTCCAGAGGTTTTCTTTCCTCACTATCAGTTACCTACATGACGTAGATGTGCGTTGTTAGACCTTTAAACTTTGAAGCACTCACTGTAAGACTTCACTTGGTTTTGTGTCTGTCTGATTAAATTTTAGAACGTTCTATTCTGTCCTACTAGTTTGTCTGTCTGTTTGATTAAAACAGAAGATTTATACACGAAATACGTTGTTTACCAACGACTACCGGAATAAGTTCCTGTAACGCGCGCGGGCGAACATGTTACGTCTGCTACGCGACACGCGAGATTCTTTCCATCCCAGTAGGTGCGTGTAGGCAAAGAGTGAGTGCATTGTTTCTAAATTTGATTTCATGAGCTAAACATCTATTGCTGTCGTTCTTCTTGAACAAAAATGTTTCCTTGATTACCCGTTTTTACTCGGAGACGCAGATTCCCCCACGTTTCGTCATTTTTTTCAACCCTGTACCTGCAGCTGTCTTATTCTTCAAATTTGCATTATGAAGCAAGAGCTAAGTGAACCATGCTTCCGGTGATTTTGTGCAAACTACACCACAGTGGTCCCAACAATAATGGTTTTATTTCTCACTTTTTCTAGCTTGTCTTGATGACCGTCTCCAACGTTTTACTACGTCGTAGAATAATTACAATAGAGGCGAAATATAAATAAGCTTCAATCTTATTGTTCCTACAAATTTTTATACCATGAAATTGGACAAAGTAGTCGGATGAAGCTATCTAAATACAGATTGTATTTCAATCTACTTTATTGACTTTGCAACCAGCTGTTAAGAAAATATCGCCAAAGGATTTAAGTGGTTTGTCTATTTCGAGCTATTGACAAGAAAACTTGCTTCTTTTCTCTTAAGTGTCAACAATTGGTTCCCAAGCAACTACGCTGAAAATGTACTTGATGTTTTGTAATGGAAATGTTCCTTCGTTTTGCAATCAAGTTTTGAATTATAGATATGCTTTGTGTGTAGCAAGTCAACCATACACGTATAACTTAAACTTGCTGGCTTTTTCATCAACAAGCTCAAGGGAATCACAACGGAGAAAGAAAGGTTAATTATAAAAAGTGATTTGATGCAAATTCACTCACTCTTCTCGGATACCGTGCCTGTTACACCAGCATCTGGAAAAAAACTGAGAAAATGCGTGAAAAACTAGCACCAGTTAAATGCATCGTTCAAGAAAAGAACGCAAATTTAGATGTGGATATTATTAGACGAGATCGAGCTATTCTGTACCGCGTACAGCCAAGGAAAGTTCTTACTGTGCGTAACGAAGCTTTGAAATGGAAGAAAACTCCAGCTGGGCAAGTGGAGCAGTTAATCAATGTCGCTCTGGAACAAAATGGCAATCAATCCAGTTCAAAGGTTGTTTGTGTAATGTATAAAATCTGTGTGTTTGTATGAAGTAAGATTGAAGTGAGGTCGCTTTGATCTGTTACGGTCCAGAGCCCTCGGCAAGATTGAAAATATACCTTACCCGTGATTTTTAACATGGAACGGTTCAGTATGTGTATTGCGCTCGTTCCCAGTTACTATAATCCAGCTAATCATAGATGAGATGGTTGGACATTGTAGCGGGTTAGACAAGATTATTGGTTCTATTGGTGCAGGCAAGCCTTGGACTATTTCTGGGCCTTTGCATTTAAATTGCGTCATTATTACGAAAATTCAGTAGTATAAGTTTGTCTAGCGCATAAATGCACAATACTTTTGACGCTTGCAGTTGTGATTTTTTTGTATTTATATCTGTTCCGAGGCCTATATTCATTGTCAAAGACATCTGCATGTTTGTTTTCAAGTATTTTTTTATTCGCAGGTGTAAATTAAGGCGAATGAATTCAACAGTTGTTAATTGGGTTCTTTTTTTCACCTCAATTGAGTTATTGACTGAATTCTTACTGCGCTGCTTTCATCATTTACATGTACGGAACATACCTATGAATATTATTTTAATTTAGCTTAGAACCTTGTGTTATATCTTTAAACGTCATCGTTTATTTACCTTGCATGACAGAATTTAATTTTGTGGGTTAATGAAACCTTTTTCGTCAGCGCCTTTATTCCAGTTTTCGATTGTACTTGGGCAAAGAGTGATAAACAAGTTATTTCTCTTCTCAAAATCAATACCCTGTCAAGCGACTCGTATCCCAACTTATCTATCTCGCACGTACTAAACCCTCGCGAGTTTACTCGCGCGACGCACTTTCATATAGTTTATACCACGTTTCTCTGTCTGTATTCTTGTATATGTATGGTAATGTTGGCAGCTGGGTGTTAAGTATTAAAGGTCCTCCTGCAATGGAATAAACATTGTTCTTCTTGTTACCAGTATCAGTCAAGGCCATCCAGTACAGCGTCATCCGCTGGCCAGTCTCAAAGGCGCAGTTCTACCCCCCATCCTCCAGCACCTACCGCTCAGAGGTCCGGAAGCGCTGGAAGGACCAATGGAGCGAGGAACCAAGTGACAAGGTCCATCGGTACACAGACAAGGTGCGGTTTTTGTTCTCACAGCCAGGATGAAAGTCGTTTAAATTGCTTTGGAAAAATTCCGTAATTATTTTAACTGATGGGTAAATGTTTTTGTGTCATTGCTTTGCAGTCTTGAGAGGGCAGCTAGCGCAGGCGCAGTAAGGGAGAAACCACCCGCTTCAGATAACAGATCACGTGACAGGGCAGGTAATAAATTTACGTCTGTAATAGTTAAGAAAGAACCTCATCTATATTTTAGTTTTGCTGATATTTCAAAAGTAAGGTGAGTTTCTTTTATTTTGAAATGGATTGAACAAACTCTTTCGCACCATCTTGTAAGAGACGTGATGTATTTATCTTTTCTTTTGTCTCGTTACTTTTCAGGCTCGTCTCTTAGCAACCACAGCGTAACCTACAGTTCACGCAGTACCTCTTGTCAGCCCACTCGCATGTATCACAGCGAAGGCATCCGAAGTGCAGCGAAGCTAAACCGACCGCCGAGCAAGGTCTATGTGTGCCAAGAAGAACGAGATCGGGCCCAATCGGCAGGCCTCCAGCGCGCAAAGTCTCCGTCGAGATTCGACGGAACTCCTGTTGAACTGCCTGGGTTTATGAAATCTAACTACTTCCTTCATCATGAAGATTTGAGCATGGGACAGAAACAGTACATCTGGGGGGTGGCACGGATTTACTCCGTCACACAACTTATGAGTTTGAAACAGAGACAGTACCAAAATCTGCTGGATTACGAGTTCAGCAGAAGAATTCAGAATAAGGAATTGAAAGAGCACGAGAGAGTTAAAGAGTGGAAGGATTACCAGCGCTACTCCAGGTTTATAAAGAGATATGAACAGGTGATATGTATTACACGATAGTCTCGTTTTTAAGTTGTGCGTAATGCAATCCATATTTAACATCACCGTCTCAGTAATCGTCCCCTCCTAATAGATTCTTTGATTCTTCTAGTCATCATCTGCGATCCCTTCTCTCCTCGTGGAGAATGGGGCCATTAATCCTCCTCCTCTAAGTCAATCTGTCTCTGGCCGCGACCTCTGCGATTTTTCGAGTACCGTTCTACAAAATGAAACAGTTGTTGTGGGCCTTCCTGTGGCGTATGTATGTATAGTTTTCAAAACAAAGAGATATTGTCAGTGGGTGTCCTGTGATATAAGTATAGTCACTGTACATAGAGTCTTGTTGTGTTCTCCACAGAGAATTCCTCGGAACAAGTTGAACTCGGCACGGTCTCCATGTGAAGAAGCTTCTCATGTTCACAAACACATGATCAAAGGTTGGACAACAGATCCGCACGCAAACGAGGCTTACCGACCCTCCAGTAGAACAAGCTACAGCGCCAAACAGCGGCAAGTACATCCTGAGTACCACTCGGACAGTAGAGACGATAATGGAGAGCAGGAATCCACTGACAATGAAACCGAGGAATACAGGCTCAGGTTGATTATTTTGCCGGGTGAGAAAGAGGAGAGTGGAACCGAGGGCGATTATGCGGCAGGTTGGTTACGTCAGTTTTTCATTTCCAGACCAACGTACCTTAGGAAAAATGAAATGAATAATGGTTTTTTTGTCTAAATGTAGAATCTGGGGAAATCGAACAGGCAAATTCATCGTGCGTCGACGAAGATGGCAATCAGAATGTACAAAATGAAAACGATGATGTTAAAGAATCTCTTGAGCAAACAGGTAATACGAGTTGAGGATCAAACTGAGATGACAAGGTAACAATGAGCTAAAATAAGAGCCTGGTGAGATCACCTAAAAACCGGTAATATTGAGGTAAAACTTCACGAAAAGTAAAACTCGTTTTTAATAAGGCAAAGGTTTGCTACTAAGGACAGTAAATGCGAGAAGCAATTTTTGGGATTTCCAGCCTTTTCCTTTTCACTTAGACATTTGTTTTTTTATTGCAGAGGACGAAAAAGCAGAAAAAGCAGCATATGAAGATGACAACTACCTTTGACAAGGAACTGGAAGAGTAGATTCTTCACATAGTTTGTATTGGTGGAGCCAACTGAAATGACAATCTAACAAGGAAAGTTACGTAAATCATCTGTACCTGTCAGTCGTTCAACAAAATTGGAACTCATTGATACATGCAGATCTGAACTGAAAAGTAAGGTTTGACTTCCACTGTGGCTGCATTGCAGGAATCTGCGGGCAATAAACGGCAGTCTTCTAGCTATATTAGACGTTTTAACTCTTTTTGATTTCTTGTTTAGAGTCTATCATACAGTTTCTTAGTACACTTTGTCCGCGATTAAGCAGGGGCGTTGCCAAGTCACAAGCTGACGAACTACTTGATAACTTCATGTATGATTCATGAAATGACTGAACCTTAACGTTCTCTCTTTATCTCTTTGTTGTAAAGAAATGTCTTTAAAGTCCTAAGTTAAATTTAAGGCAAATATTTGAGAAGCATACAAAACATGATCAGTTTTGGACGTTGACTTTCAACAAAGTTCTCATAACTGTACTCAAGTTAATTTTATGGTAAATCGTGAGGAGAATTCATGTTTTGATTTCGAGACAGTAAGGATTAGCGAGTACTTTTGAAAACTGAGTTTTGGGTGTGATCCTAGGAGCAAGTGGGTTTTAGGTTTTTACTTTGTTAAAAGATTACTACAGAGGTATTATTTTTGTTAATAAAATACCGGAGAGTGCATTATATCATAAATCACCTGATCGACAATTCCTCATCAAAATTGTCAGTAAATAACTGAGGGTATTTACCACGATTGGAGGTAAATAGCACTCGTTGTTGACCAACGATTAAGTGAATAATTGCCTTAGTGTATAGCAAACCAGTGGGATATTGAGGGTGGTGAGTAAAGATTATGCTCTCAAATGCAGGGTTAAAAATATATTTGGTCATATGTTCATGGGGCAACTCTACAACGAGCGAGGATTGGTTTTGTATTTATCATTAAAAGAGTGAAAATGCTTAAAGTTGTGAAGTGTCTTTGTTTTTGGTTTTGAATGGCTGGCTTAAATAAGTTTGCACACTGCCAAAACAAAGAAGCAAGAATGTGAAATAGTTCTTTCGTTTACACTGTTGAACTCTTGCGTTCATCGTCTAATAATTTCTTTTAGGCCCTAACGACCCTGACATTAATGCTCAGTGAGCGTGCATTTTAGGCTCGCCTATTTTCTCCCTTTGTCTCTTTTTACGAACACGACACAGCAAAGTGACAATTTTAATGAAACGGCATTTTCCCCTTGGTACTCGATTAATTTGTAGAAGCAGAACGTCTTCTCGTGATCAGGAACATATTATCATTGTCGTGATCTGCTAAAATTCTGCTCCGGCCTTTTCTGCTGTTCTGCTGTTCTGCTGAATAACGTCACCACTTCGTTCTCCTTTGCGAGATGTAGCAGGGTAGTTTCCTCGTTCAACTCCTTCCGCCCGCCGTCCTTGACCAGCGCGGGCTCTAGGAGCGTGCATGAGCCAGTTTCATGACATGCGCAGTACGTCACATTGCATCACAACCGTTCTCATCTTCGCAATCTGGTCGGTGTACAGTATTTATAAGCTGTTTTTACTGATTTTCACCCTATTCATCCCTATCTTTCACAGTTATCAGATTACCGACAATTATTCTGGTTTTCCACGGATCTATTGCCTAGGTACGTGAAGTAATTATCCGATCCTTGGACAACATCTTGTTATTTGTTCCATATTTTTGTACGTGTACGACAGTTCACAGCCTAAAATCCCAATAAGAATTTTGAATTAAGCTAATATTTATACAGAGTTGTAAAAAAAGACTATTTTAAATTATGGAAATATCTGAAAATATCGTTGTAAATACTCCTATTGGAAACACACCAAGTAAAAGTCCGTGGGGTACAAGCCCAGCTGTAACTCCATGTTCCCTTGCTACTGTTATGGACGAAGAAGTGGCGAAAGAACTTCAAGCTAAGGAAGATTATTTGTCCGGGTATCATCTTCAGGCGAACTCAGTGCCATCTGGACTCGCATTTGAAGGTAATGATTTAATGTTTTGCTTATTGTAAGCGGTTTAATATTGCTTTGATTCATGATCGTGCAGACTTGTAGACAAAACCTTAGCTTTTAGTTGCAGTTTCGAGCTTGTGTTGCAATCAACTGGAAGCTGAAGCTGAACTCAGAAGTTGTTTAATTATTTCAGTTTGACTCATTTGGAGGAAATGGAGGGAGGTGGATGGGGAGCTAAACTCCAGAATACCCGGCCACTTATTAGCATCTCATTGAATAAGAATA